GGTGGATCTCAAGGATACCACACAAATTCCGAGCACAAGCAAGTGGTCACAAGACCAGTTCACATGCAGGTTGATAATATAACAAGAGATACAGTGATCACAACCTAGCAAGTGTAAACATGCAGGTATATATATAGAGATCACAGTACAAATAGAGTCAAGAAGTAAGCAAGTGAGGTCCAGTAGGCACAAGGCCCAGAAGAGTACAGAAACGCTGATGGTCACAAGGCTGAAGTGCCTTGGTGAACACATCAGCAGTGTTGGCCTGAGTGGCCACGTAACGCAGACAAAGCTGACCACGCTGCTGTAGCTCTCGAGCAAGGAAGTAGCGCAGAGCAATGTGCTTCGTTCTGTGCTCCAGTCTGTGCTCCTCACACAAGGCAATGGCTGCCTTGTTGTCAACGTACAGCACTGGAGGAGAACGAGGCGGCTCTCCCAAGTCGGCTCTCCCGAGTCGAGCCAGCGTAGCTCCTGGGCCGCCATGGCTGTGGCATAGATCTCAGCCTCACAACTGGAGCTGAGAACAGAAGAAGAACGTGTAGAACGCCAAGAAACTGAACCAGAGCCAAGGCTGAAGGAGTAACCCTGAGACGACCGCTGAGTGGCCTGGTCGTCAGCCCAAGAAGCGTCTGAGTGTCCAGTGAGCACAACTCTGTCCCGTCCTCCAAGCACTAGCCCCATGCCCGACGTACTGCACAAGTAGCGCAACACCCTCTTAGCTGCATCCATGTGCTCCTTCCGGTGACGGCCAGGAGCAACATAGCGTGCAAGGATGCCAAGAGGGTATGCAAGGTCAGGTCGAGTGCAGGTCATCAGGTACATGAGGCAGCCCACAAGCTCTGGATACGGGCCACTCGGCTCTACGGACTCATCCGAAGGCAGAGCTGAGAGCGAGTGACCAGTAGGCAGAGGAGTAAACTGAGGCGAGGAGTACGTGAAGCCGAAGCGCTGAAGGATCTGCTGCACCATGTGTGACTGAGTCAAGGTGATGGTGCGCCGTGCTCTGTCCCGGGTGATCCGCAAGCCAAGGTAGCTTGTCAGTTCACCCAGGTCTGTGCACGTGTGTCTCTTCTGCAGCTCCGACTTCACCTGAGCGAGAGCCTCAGTGTCAGCAGTGGCAAAGACCAAGTCGTCGACGTACACGAGGATGTAGAACGGCAGCAGCGAAGTGTCGGTGCGCAGAAACAGCGACGGGTCAGCAGTAGAAGGCGCGAACCCAAGAGCTGCAAGTGTCGTCCTCAGTGTGTCGTGCCACTCACGTGGCGCCTGTCGGAGACCGTAGACCGGCCGCTGGAGCCTCCACTGGGTACCAGGAGGAAACGACCCAGTGAAGCCAGGAGGGCGGCGCAGCCAGATCTCCTCGTGCAGACTGCCCTGCAAGAAAGCTGTACTGAAGTCAAGAGAGTGAAGCTCGTAGTCGCGGTGAGCGGCTATGTGCAGTAGCACCCAAAGAGTGGTCATCTTCGGGGTGGGGGAGAAGGTCTGGAAGAAGTCAACTCCCTCTCGCTGACTGAAGCCTCGAGCCACGTAGCGCGCCTTGAAGACAGGCGGAGAACCCGGTGGCCGCTTCACCCTGAAAATCCACATGCCACTGACGATGTTCGCCCCTGGTGGGGGAACCTCGTCGACGTAGGTGCCTGTGGACTTCCAGGAAGCCATCTCTGCGTCCATAGCTGTCTGCCACTGAGAGGAGTAGGGACCCGCGATCGCCTCAGCGTAAGAGCGCGGGGTCGGGATGTCTGGTGCATTCGGGTCTCCCTCAGGGGCAACTAGCATGGACACGAGATGGGGCAAAGCAGCAGCAAAGCACTGGAACTCCTCGTGCCTGTCCTCAAGGACGTCCGTGCCAAGAGCACACTCACCCCCGACGGACGGAGGACAGACAGACTCAGACTCAGCAACCAGGCTAGCGGCGTAGTCTAGACGACAAGCGGTAGCAAAGTCAACTAACTCAGCCGCAAGAGCAGACGCAGCGGAGGACTCAAAGGTAGGGTCAGTGACAACAGTGGCGAGGAGACGCGTAACAGTGGGACTGGCAGCACGAAGGGAGTCAGACTCCGGGTCAGGAAGAGTAGGAAGAGAGGACGCAGGAGGAGACGGCAGGGGGACACGCTGAGGAGCAGTGGAGCGAAGCAGCACCATCTGGTGAGTGCCTGGGACAGCAGGAGGACGCTGACGCGGGACACGACGAACAGTGCGAGCAGCACGGACCGGTGACGCAGAGCGAGACGTAGGCGACGCAGGGCGAGACTCAGGCTCACGACGCTCCGTAAGACCTCCAGTAGGACCAGTGTAAGGAGAAGGACCAGGGAGAGGCGAGGCAGGCGGTAACTGTGACTGCGACTGGACAGGCAGAGGACACTCTAAGGAGGGAGCAGGACAAGGAGGAGGAGCCGGACCAAGAACCTGCTGAAGGAGCGGGACGAAGTACGGTCGGGGCCGCGCAGCGCCTCCAGAACCAGCAGAGACGCCACCAGCACCCTTAGTAGCTCCAGCAGTACCAGCTCCCGGGTCCGCAGCACCAGCAGCAGCTCCAGCTCCAGGGTCCGCAGCACCAGCAGCAGCTCCAGCTCCAAGGTCCTCAGCACCAGCAGCAGCTCCAACTCCAGGGTCCGCAGCACCAGCAGCAGCTCCAGCGCCAGGGTCCGCAGCACCAGCAGCAGCTCCAACTCCAGGGTCCGCAGCACCAGCAGCAGCTCCAACTCCAGGGTCCGCAGCACCAGCAGAGACACCAGCGGCAGGGTCCGCAGCACCAGCAGCAGCTCCAACTCCAGGGTCCGCAGCACCAGCAGAGACACCAGCGGCAGGGTCCGCAGCACCAGCAGCAGCTCCAACTCCAGGGTCCGCAGCACCAGCAGCAGCTCCACCCCCAGGGTCCGCAGCACCAGCAGCAGCTCCAACTCCAGGGTCTGTAGCCTCAGCAGCAGCTCCACCAGTAGGGTCCGCAGTACTAGCAGCAGCTCCTCCGGCAGGGTCCGCAGCACCAGCAGCAGCTCCAACTCCAGGGTCCGCAGCACCAGGAGCACCACTCCGAAGACTGCTGCGTCGCACGTACCACTCTCAGATCTGCTGAAGGGAGGGCAGCTCCCGTGGAGGAAGGGAAGCACTAGTACCGGCTCTAGAAGCACCTCTCCGGCGGCTGCAGTACTATAAGTACCTCTCCTGCAGCTGCCGGGAGGAGAGGGCTCCTCCAGGTGTAGTACGCTCAGGCTCAGTACCCCCAGACTCCACACCCCCAGGCTCAGCACCCCCAGACTCCGCACCCCCAGGCTCAGCACCCCCAGGCTCAGCACCCCCAGACTCCGCACCCCCAGGCTCAGCACCCCCAGGCTCAGCACCCCCAGGCTCCGTACCCCCAGGCTCAGCACCCCCAGCAGGACGAGAGTCGACAGCTACCTCGACAGGCTCAACCGGGTCTACCTGAGACACACCTGAGGGAGCGGCACCTTGAGGGGGGAGGGGGTCTAGCACAGCAGCACCTGGAGCGAGGAAGAGAGGCGGGGGGGGGAGCGGGGCAGTGCGGTAGGGGAAGAGGCGGTAGTAGGGGACGGACTCGTCAAAAGTGACGTCCTGAGAGGGCAGGACACGGCGCGAGGTGGGGTGGTAAAACTGCCAACCAGACGCGTCCGGGACAAAGCCAAGGAAGACACAGGGCACAGCACGGGAGGAGAGCTTGTCCGCGACCGTGTCGCGAACAAAGGCTCGAGATCCCCAGACCCGAAAACGCGACGCATCGCCAACCTCTCCCGTCCAACGCAGTGTCGGGGAAGTCTCGGGCAAGGAGACACGGGGCCAGAGGTTGAGCTGATGCGCAGCGTATCGGACCGCAAACGGCCACAGAAAGTGGGGGGCAGCCGCATGGATCAGGGAGGTACGAGCGACCTCCATGACCAAGCCAATGCGGCGCTCAGCAACCCCATTTTGCTGCGGAGAGGCCGGAAGCGTGAACGTCTGCTCAATGCCCTCCCCCTGACAGAAGGCCCGCAAGAGGTCGGAGGAAAACTCACCACCTCTATCAGAGTGCAGTCGCAGGACTGGAAGGTCCGAGCGAAAGCGCCTCTCCAGCTGGAGACGGGTAGCGCGGATCCAAGGGATCAAGACATCAGGGACTTCACCCTTGGCGCGCAAGGGGAAGACCGTGGTGTAACGCGTGTAGTCGTCAACTACCAGCAGAAAGTAGCGCTCCCCGCCCTGTCCACGGACGCGGGCGGGGCCCCACACGTCCATGTGGAGTGTCTGCAGAGGAGCCTCTGTTGGGGGAAACGAGGAGGAGTGAGGAGCGGCGCGCTGCCGTCCCTCGACACAGGGAAGACAGGGAGGAGCAGGCGAGGGTGGGAGGGGAGGGAGAACCCTGGGAAGACCAGAGACAAGGTACCGTTTGTGCATGGCACGAAGGCGCTGCACAGACGGGTGACCAAGTCGGTGGTGCCAGAGAACGGTCTCGTGCGTCAGAGAGCGACACGAGCAGGGGGCCGACAGCTGACCTGACGCAGATGCAGACGCAGACGCAGCTACCTGAGGGGACTCAGTGGTCAGTGTGTACAGGTCCGACCCCGGCTGCCTAGTGAAGGTAGCCAGGTGACGGCCCGTCCGAGCACACGTGCAGTGTGTCACGCGCTCGTAGGCAGGGGTGAACTGGTGAACACCCCCATCCTGGAGCGCACAGCCCGCCACCAAGTTCGTAGAGAACGAGGGGAGGTGGAGACCTGACAGTGTGCCCGACGGGACCGCAGGACAAGGAAGGACAGTGGAGGAGGTCGCAACGACCGGACCCCCAGAGGGGTCAGCAAGGGAGACAGCAACTGGCCGAGCGAGCGGCTCAAGGACAGTGCTGTCGCGAAAGAAACAGCGAGAAGCACCTGAGTCTAGTGTGAAGGTGTGCAGTGCCTCAGTCGACTCAGTACCAGGGGGCACAGACTCACGAGCACCTAGAGCAGCAGCCTCACCAGTACCTGGGGTAGCAGACACACAAGTACCGGGAGGGGCAGTCTCACTAGCACCTAGAGCGGCAGCCTCACTGGTCCGAATGCCCGGGTCGGGCGGAACACACAGGTACTGAGCACCCTCTCCACTAATAGACATCACATACATGGCAGTGAGAATAGCATCAAAGTCTAGAGCATAGATATCAACTCCCTTCTTCATCAGATCAAACCAGCGGGGCAGCTCAGTGGCATCAGGGAACTGAGTACGCCAGGCGTCGTCGAGGCGAGAGAAGCAGCGCTGCGTGGGGTGCGGCCTCCCACACGTCTGACCAGCGCGGTCACCAGTGCGGATGACGTTCGCGCAGCTAAGGCCATCCCCCCCCCCCCCCCGTGCTGAGTGTACCACTCACGGGCCTCCTGGGGTGTCGGAGTGTGCTGCGAACTCTTGCCGCTGCCAGCGCGACCACCACCGCCGCCGCCACCTCCGCGACCACCCCCTCCCCTACCGCCGCCTCGACCACCGCCGCCCCCACCACCGCCCCCGCCCCTGCCACCTCCCCCGCCGCTGCCGCCACCACCCCCACCGCCGCCACTAGTCCCTCCAGCCCCACCCACGACCACCACCCCCACCGCCGCCACCGCCTCCACCACCGCCTCCCCCGCCGTCACCTTCCCCTCCCTTGCCCCCTTTGCCCCTGCGGCGTCCGCTCGAAGCAGACGCAGTCCCGACCTTCTCAGCACCAAGGAGGTCGACAGCAGAAGCAGAGGCTACAGAGGGAAGAAGGGGGGAAGGGGAACACCCCTCAAAGAAAGGAGTGCGGGGGTCGCCACGAGAGGCACCTACAGCGACTATGCTAGCCTCAGCTGCAAGCAGTTCCTTCTCGAGGAGGTCGATGGTAAGCTCAGTGGGGCAGCGAGCGAGGAAGTGATCCCTGATTACACGCAGAGAGTCAGGGAGGCGGGTGACTAGGTGTTAGAGCGTGAGCCAGAGCGGGGGGGGGGGTACGTAGCAAGGAACTCGGCGGGCATGGCGGCACGGAAGCGAGCCTCACTAGTGCGGAGGTGCGTGATGAGGTTAGCGACTGTGTGAAAAGAGGCCAGGTCGGGGAACAGGTAGGGGAGTGAGAGACGGCCTAGTGCGGCAGAGGCAGGTGAGGAGTAGCGGGCAACGACAGCTTTGTACCGTTTCTGTGCAGTCTTGTGCTGGCCAAAGTGCTCGCGCTCATCTAACGGCAGGGAGTTGCGGATAGCAAAGCGAGCGTGGGCGTCACGAGTCTGCCACTGTGAGCGGGTAGTGCTGTCAGCATCAGTAGCAGGGGCAGGAGCATGGCCGAGGGCGTGGTCATACAGTGAGATGTCCTCCTTGGCAGTGAGCTGTAGGAAGAGGTGCAGGTCATCAAGCCAGGTGTCAAACTTCACCGGGCGGCCCTCAGCATCGAAAGCTAGTACAGGCGGGGTAGCCATAGTAGCAGTAGGAGTAGCAGTAGCAGTAGCAGTAAGTGAGTCCTAAAAGCAGTGGGCAGCGCGACGCAGGTAGGGCGGCTCGGTCCAGAGAAGTTGCTCAGTGCGGGCGGCGCGGCTCGGTTCAGGTAGGGCGGCGCGGCTCGGTTAGGGCGGCGCGGTTCGGTTTGGCTGCGCGGCTCGGCTCGGACTGGGCGGCTCGGTACGGGCGGCTCGGTTCGGGCGGCCTGTTGCTGGCGGGGCCGCGGCTGTCGCGTGCGGTGCGGGTAGGGGCGGCGGGTAGGGTCGACGGAGCCGCTTTGGGGCGGCGGATAGGGTCGACGGGGCCTCTAAGCGGGGCGCGCGCGGGGTCGACGGGGCCAGCGGGGCCTCTAAGCGGGGCGCGCGTGGGGTCGACGGGGCCAAACGGGGCCGTAAGCGGGGCGCGCGCGGGTCGACGGGGCCAAACGGGGCCACTAAGCGGGGCGCGAAGGGGTCGACGGGGCCAAACGGGGCCGTAAGCGGGGCGCGCGCGGGGTCGACGGGGCCAAACGGGGCCTCTAAGTGGGGCGCGGGCGGGTCGACGGGGCCAAACGGGGCCGTAAGCGGGGCGCGCGCGGGTCGACGGGGCTAAACGGGGCCACTAAGCGGGCCGCGGGCGGGTCGACGGGGCCAAACGGGGCCGTAAGCGGGGCGCGCGCGGGTCGACGGGGCCAAACGGGGCCACTAAGCGGGCCGCGGGCGGGTCGACGGGGCCAAACGGGGCCGTAAGCGGGGCGCGCGCGGGTCGACGGGGCCTCTAAGGAGCGACGCGCGGGTCACTAAGGGGCGGCGCGCGGGGTCGACGGGGCCTTAAGGGGCCGTACACGAGGGCGCACGAGGGCGCTGAGGGGGAGGCGCTAACGCGACGCTCCGATAGTAGGGCGCACTGAGGCGCTAGAAGACAGTCAGTAGAGGTGGGCCCGAAAAAAAAACTTAGGTCCTAGCGAAGGACCTGCTCTGAAACCATGTCAGAAGAACTGAACGAGGAATGAATGAACTAACAGCAATGTGAGTACAAATAGGAAACCCTAACTTTGTGTACCCCCTAAGGTCAAACCCACTACAGCCTACACAACATAAACATGCAATGTTTGACATTCTCTGCTATCCAGGCACACCTGAAGCACGTCAATTTCAAGCTCCAGCACGGCGACATCGAAAGCGCCATTGCCAACGTCGCGGAAATCGAAACGCTCATCAACAAGCGCTTCGAAGTCCTCTTGGTGGCGGACGAGGCGGGGTTCGAGGCTGCCGATCGTTTTCAGCTATACCAGTCCAAGAGCGTGCTAACCTCACGCTCATACAAGCTCGCAATTGCGGATGTGGCGGCTCTCAAGCGTGCACGCGCCGGCTACACTCGTGGTAATCGCATGCCTACCCGAGACGGCGAGACGAAAGGCAAGGGGATGCCACCCGCAAGCTGCCACGAACCCCGCTTCAAGGGGGTGTGCTTCCGCTGCGGCCAGCCCGGCCATATGGCAAATGCTTGCCCTATGGGAGGGTGAGGCGCTCAAGGCCCCTCACCCGTGGTGTGAGGAGGCACACGGGGCGGCGCCCCTTGCCACTATGCCGGGGGGTGTAGGTGGGAGCACCGAGGGTGCGGGACTGGTAGTTAGCATGGTGTATGGGCTGAATGTCTTAGAAATCCCTAGCCATAAGGGCGGATATGGGGGTAGTACATGCCATGAACCCATGAGTGGAAATAAAGTTCTCTTGTTTTAACTTAAAAAAAAAAAAAAGGGGGGGGGGGGGGGGGGGGGGGGGGGGGTGAGTGAAAAGGAATGTGGAACCAAAGCAGCCACTTGGCAGCCCGAGAAGCTCCCTGACTAGAAGGGAAGAGTAAGGAGGAGAGAGGAAGAAACTGAGATAGGAAAGAAAACGTGAGACTAAGGGGCAGAAAGTGAGAAGAAGAGCAAACGGAAGAAAGCTGAAGAGGAGAAAGAAAGAGAAAGAGAGGGAGAGAGAGAGAGAGAGAGAGAGAGAGAGAGAGAGAGAGAGAGAGAGAGAGAGAGAGAGAGAGAGATAGAGAGAGAGAGAGGGAGAGAGAGAGAGAGAGAGAGAGAGAGAGAGAGAGAGAGAGAGAGAGAGAGAGAGAGAGAGAGAGAGAGAGAGAGAAAGAGAGAGAGAAGGGAGAATGTGGAAAGGAGGACTAGAGGACGGATGGTACAAGGAGATACGGAAGACGTAGCACCGAGCATGTATAAGCCCCCGGGCTGGTCCTATGACCAAAGTCTAATCACCCACTTGGAATGAAGCACGCTGCCTTTGCAAGATGGACTAAGCATGCTTTCACAATGTGGGTGGTTGGTTCCTCCTGAGGGGTGGGCAGTGGGCAGCAGTGTGCCCAGCTTTCTAATCGTCCCTTTTCGCCACATGTGTTAGAAGAATGTACACCCAGCCACCGCACCGCACCGCTTGATGACGAAATTCGCAAAGTCATTATGTGTCGCGATAATTGAAAATAGTCGTAAATCGTCGCGGATGGCTGCGACCGTAGCCCATCACGATCAGCTCCCATCACGAGGCCCATCAGTGATGTGACGGGCTTGTGCCCTGCAAAAAGATTAGCTGCCGCCCATTCCAGAAAAAAATCGCTAGACTGATGAAGGCTATCTATTTTAGGTCGACAGAACTGCTACTAGACACGATGTTTCGCCGTTCTAACTCCGAGATAGTACTATTCTAGCAACGAGCTTTACCAGGTTGTATACTCAGACGTAATAGAATTCCCTCGCGGTGCCGTGTTCTCTGGCGTCATAAAGCCTTCAAATCTAGAAAGCAGCGTGATTGATTTGATATTCGAGGAATCATGTTCGTCAAAATGCTGCTCCATCTCATGTCCGATCTCCGTCTCAAACCACCACCTGAGGATACCGTGATTCACCCGAAGGGCCCTTTGCATCATCAGCGATGGGATCATCAGGTTACCTTCGGAGCGAAAACCTATCGCGTGGTGAACGAAGCTCGTCAGAAGCTTGATAAGGAAGTACTTCCGGCAGACTTTCTGCGCTTAATGCCGCCAGCCCGGCCCAAGAGAAACGACATGAAGGCAGCATTTCGCGATGCTCTTGTTGGGAATATGTCTTTCCCCAACGCGGAGCCAACTGCGAGCGCCGAGCACATAGCTGATTACGCGAAAAAGCTCGCGAAGCATTTTGCGAAGAACGTGTTACAAAACGACTGCGTGCGCATGTTGAAGAACCGCCAACCGGTTTACGGTACAGTCCAGGAAGGGCCCTCTCATGACCCGACATTCACCACCACAGTCACTTTACCTGACGACTGGGGCAGTTTCACTGGCCAAACCTGCTCGTTGAAAGTCGATGCGGAACAAAGCGCGACGTTCGAGGCGTGGTGGAGTGTTTTCGTGGTGGGACCGCACGTGCAAGGAGGGGAGCCCAGTACTGCGGTAGCTGGTGAATCGGCAGAGGCAAAAGTTTCTAAGGGAAAGCGACGAGCAGGAGCAGAAACAGATGATGATGAGGAAGGTGAAGAAGTAGCAGAGGCATCAGGAGGAGGAGAAGGAGGGGGAGATGATGAGGAATCTGGTGCTTCACCTGAGGTTTCCTACGGCGATGTGGGATCCGTGGGAGAGCAGCAGAGAGCAGAGGGGGAGACAGAAGTGGAATCAAGAGATAAGAAAAGAATGAAAAGGTGTAGCAAGAGGTGATTCATAAGTTGGCTTCAACCCTGCAGATAAGCCGGCAAGAGTAGGGCTTGTAATGGATGTTTGAGGGTTGCCAGAAAGTATGTGGTTTTGATTAAGATGCACAGAAATCAGGGAATGATTATGGAATGCATCAGAATGAAAACAGGGCAAAAAAGGCGCAGGGGAGAGGGGGCTGCAGCTATCTTGGTTAGCTAGCGGTGCATAGTGCAATCTTGGTTACATGACATGGCACTGCACTGCACACTGCAATTTGGTTAGATGACATGGCACTGCACACTGCAATTGGTAGGACAGTGGTACCCGTCATCGCCCGGATATAAGACATATATGTCTTATCTCGTACACGGGCAAAAATGCTTGAGTTATCTTACAAACGGGATGGTTTAGGGTGTCTTATAAGTCTTATAAATGGAACTTTTTAAACTACTTAGAATTATTTTCACACATCTTGAAAAGAGTTTCTCATAATGAGTGTGGATGTTGCAACCACTTCGGCCACTTTGGCAACCACTGCACGCGACGCCACGTCATGGAGAAAACTTGCAGAGGCAATTTTGATAGTACCTGAGTTAGCACGTGGCAGAATTCGCGCTTCGCAAGGGTAAAAATGTACGCGGTATTTCAAATTTCGCTTAATATATTGAAGTTCGATTATAAGACATATATGTCGTATCTCGTACACACAAATAGGTGTCTTATAATGAGGCTAGCCTGTTTATAAGAGACACCCGTATAGTAGACAACCCCTGTCTACTATTCAACACTGTCTTATATCCGGGCGATTACGGTAATACTTTACCTATGTTAGCTGATCACTGTCGGACTGAGCAACATGCTCAGAATGATCGCTGTCCAAAATCAGTCACCCCTGGAGGCAGAGTGAACAGCTTCAGTGAGTGAGAGCAGTCAAGTGTCGTTCAGTCTGAGAGAAGTACCATAAGAAACGTTACCGTCATCGCCCGGATATAAGACATATATGTCTTATCTCGTACACGGGCCAAAATGCTTGATTTATCTTGTAAACGGGATGGTTCAGGGTGTCTTATAAGCAGGGCTGACTATTAAAAAAAATCCAGTCTGACGTTCTGGGGGGTCTGGAAAAAATTAGTCTGAGGCATATTTCCCAGAGAATGGCTACTCTGATTTTTCAGGTTCCGCAAAAACACAAATCTGAAGTACTCAGACTTCACATGGCGAAATGAAACACAGCGCTTCCCTCGCCGACACCGCATAGCTACAGCGATAGTCTCACGCGAGTGCAACACCGAGCCAAGTGGTAGAATTCCAAGGAAAAAGGGTGGCAAAAGTCCCA